GAACATGAAATTGTCAGATGTAATTTTTGTCAATATTGTGAGTATATAATAGGACTTAATTTTTTGTTTTAGTTTGTGTTTCTCTAATCACCAATGAAGTTGAACATTATTTCATACCCTAATTGGGCATACTTCTTATAAAGTGCCTATTCATACCTTCTGCCTATTTTTGAGGAGTTGCCTTTTTCTTTTAAAAAGTTTATATGAAGAAAATTCCTCTTAGTAACTGATAAAACAAGCAGACAGTTATTCACATAGACACGTAACAATAAGCCACAGTACACGTTATAAAATTCAATATCACTGATTCAATATTATAATTACCTTGCTGTTTTGCTGAATCTTGTTAATATTTTTAGTTTTTCAGGTTATTCTTTTTATATTTTACCTCTTCCTTTCTAATTTCTAATTTTCCTTAATCCTGAATAAACAATATGGTTAAATGGTATTGTTTTGTTTAATATGCTGAATACACTAGATACATATTTAATTTTTTTCTTAAAACCATAATTGAGACTGGACTATAATATAGCATATGCACAGTATTTATCACAGCTTAGTGCCAATTTTAATTTTTTGTTTTCTATATTTTCAACCAACTTAAATAGCACTGGAATTTTAGTTTTATACAAAAGTTAGTACATTTACCACCCTTTATTTTCATCTTTGCTAACGTTATAACGTATAAATAAGTTGCATATATTTCAAAAGTATAATTTGATACATTTTAACATATAGATCTACATATGGACTCACATTCATGAAACTATTAGCACAATTAAGATACATCCTCTGTGTTTGCTACCTTTCCCTCCTCCCCCATCTGCTCATAATCACCTCTCTGCTTCTGTTCACTATCTAGTTTGTATTTCTAGATTTTAAAAAATCACTTGCCAGCCCTGGAGCTTGAAATCAGGGCCAGGGCACTGATTATAAGCTTTTTTTGCTCAAAGCTAGTGTTCTATTGCTTGAGCCTGGCTTTTTTTTTTTTTGGTAATTTATTGGAGACAAGAGTCTCACAGACCTTCCTGCCAGAGCTGGCTTCAAACCACAATCCTCAGATCTCAGTCTCCTGTGTAGCTAGGATTATAGGTGTGAGCCACTGTTGCCCAGCTTGTATTTCCTAGAATTTTATATAAGTGGACTCTTTTGTGTCTGGATTCTTTCACTGAGCTGACCAATTATTTTGAGATTTGCCCATGTTTTGTATATCAATATTTTCATCTTTTTAGCTGCTCAGTAATATTCTATAGTTTGTTCATCCATTCACTTGTAATGGGACATTTGGATTGTTTATAGTTTGGGGCTATGACAAATATTACTTTACTAGCCTTTTAACTTTGCTAGCCTTTTTTTTTCTGCTTGTTGTGGGGCTTGAACTTGGGCCTGGATACTGTCCCTCAGCTCTTCAACTCAAGGCAAGCGCTCTACCACTTGAGCCACAGCCCCATTTCTGGTTTTCTGGTGTTTTATTGGAGATAAGAGTGTCATAGACTTTCATGTCCTGGCTGGCTTTAAACAGTGATTCTCAGATCTCAGCCTCCTGAGTAGCTAGGATTATAGGCATGAGCCACCAGTGCCCAGCATTACTTGGATTTTTAAATGACATTATGATTCACCAAGTTATATACACATGCGTGGAGTCCTCTATGTAATTACAGGCGTAAGCCACTGGCACCCAGCTCATGTATTCTTTTTTTTCTTTCTGCTTATGTGGTGCTGAGGAATCAAACCCAGGGCCTCAGGCATGCAAGGCAAGCGCTCTACCACTGAGCCACCTTCCTAGCCCCTCATGTATTCTTTTATGTGGGTAAAGTATCTAGAAATACAATTTCCATGTAGGTCTTTTTTTTTTTTTTGGTTTACGTGTAACTTTATAAGAAGCCACTCGTGGGAGAAAATGAGGGAGGTGGTAACACTGTAACCCCTCTGTACATCACATTAATAATAAAAGGGGAAAAAAGAAACCACCAAACTTTTCCTAAGTTTTTGCACCACACACACACACACACACACACACACACACACACACACACACACACA